GGTGGCCTGCTCTGACTTATGTGGACGCCCCGTGGCTGCTCTGATTTTGGGTGTGCTCTTACCCAGGTTTGTTTCTGTCACCCCTGGAGCTCAGTGGCAGCTGTTCTGACCCCACCCGCCTTCCCTCACTCCTGAAACCAGCCCGGTAACCCTTTTGCAAAATCCTGGCCCTCCAGGCCCCCAGCCCGGTCCTCCCCTCCAGGCCCCTTGTGGCAGCTGTGCCCCTTTTGTGTCCTCGCTGGCCAGCGTGGTGACACACGCACCCAGTGCCCACCGCACCCCTGCCGGCCCCCGGGCCAGCCCCTTGTGGTGGGAGACGCCAGTCCGGGCCCAAGCATCTCCCTCCGGCTCCTGCCCTTATCTCAGTGGCCTTAATGGACTCGATCAGGGACCCTGGGACCCATGGCTCCGAGACTGGGCTCTTCTTGCCCTGCCTGCTCCCTCCCGGGGTCCCCATGAGGAAGAGGAGGCCGTCACACCCGCCCTGCCGGCCCCTCCTCCCTCTGAGCCCTGCCACTCTCCCTCCCTGTGCTGGTGGCCAGGCCCGTCACCGGCCTTCATTTCATGAGTCCCCCTCCACCCCAACACCCCTCCGTATCCACCCTCAATGCCCCCTGCCCACTGGTATCCCCGCTCCTCCCTGCTGCTCCGGCATCCCCTGCAGCTGAGCTGTTTGTTCCACTCACAGCTTTGGTCGGCGGAGGGCAGGTCCCACGGGCTCAGCAGCACCAGAAGGCCCCCTGAGGGGCTGCTAGGACAGGACTACCCTGGCTGGGTGCGGTGGCTCACGCCTGGAATCCCAGCACCTTGGGAGGCCAAGATGGGCGGATTGCTTGAGGTCAGGAGTTCGAGACCAGCCTGGCCAACGTGGTTACACTCCATCTCTACTAAAAGTACAAAAATTAGCCAGTGTGGTGGCTCGTACCTATAATCCCAGCTACTTGGGGGGCTGAGGCCTGAGAATCGCTTGAACCCGGGGGGCGGCGGTTACAGTGAGCCAGGATTGCGCCACTGCACTCTAGCCTGGGCGACAGAGTGAGACCCTGTCTCACCAAAAAAAAAAAAAAAAAGGACAGGGCCACCCCACCACTGGGTGCTGAGCAGTGGGCTGGGAAGGGCCGGGGAGCCCCACTCTGCGACTGTGTCTACTCCGGGCCCGCGCCTGCACCAGCCCTGCCTCCTCCTGCCCCTCCCTGGCCACTCTCACCCGCCCAGGGTGCTTGCTGCCTCTGCTCTCATTTTAGAGGAACACCCAACAGCCCTCCCAGAACCCCAGTCCCATTTCCCCCCTTTATACTGCAAAGCACCCTCAAAGAGTTCTCCAAAACCCTAATCTCATCTCCCCCCTCTAGGGGCGCAGGTGTCTGTGCCCATTTTCAAGGCTCCTGGGCCACCCAGGGCCACTGGCCACGTGGCTTCACCCACTTGCTGGAACCTGGGCGAGCTCAGGCAGAGAAACTTGGTGGAGGTGGAAGGAGAGGTTAGAGCACAGCCGCACGCCCCCTGGGAAGACGGAACGCGACAGTCTCCGGACGATGAGCGAAGCCCAGAGCCGATCGCAGCCCTGAGTGCTGCTCAGAGGAGATGCCACGACGAACGAACGTCAGGATGTAGGGGAAAGGGGTGGAACCCACAGCTCAGACCTGTGGGGGACGCAGGGTGGGACCGGAGAGGCTCACGCCCCACACGCAGGTGCCGAATGCGAGGAGACTGAGCATCACAGCCGAAGGTCCCACAAGAGGGAAATCTCAGGCAAGGACGAGACTCACAGGCCACAGATGGAGACTCACAGGCCAGAGACAGACTCACGGGCCAGAGACAGGCTCACGGGCCAGAGA